TTTGGTTTAAGTTCAATTCTCGTGGTAGCTTGCTTTTTTTTTAAAATGTTTCCTGCTTTGTCTTCTCTTGCAAGTTTTTTTTTAACTGTGTACATGTAGGACATTTTCACTATTATACTTCCTTGCTTTATTTACAGCTGTACGGTTAACTGGTTTGAGATAACAGCGATATTATTTACATAAACGGCATCATCATCATCGTCGTCGTCGTCGTCGTCGTCGTCACAGTAAAAGGAATGATCAAAACAAAGTACCGGCGACGTTCGTCGGTGCCAGCTAATCCATCATATCTAAAGATGCCTCAACACATCTATCTATCTGTAACCGGTTGGAAACTATGGAAGAAAGAGACATGATTGAAAAGAAAATACCAGTGTCAGTTAACCCTTTGCGTCCTGACTACCGCTCTATCGGTGGTAGAGAAAAAAATGCCCCACCACCGGTTGAACGGTGGGTAAACACTTGTAACTATTGTTTATATCTACCGTGAAACATTACATACCAATTATTTGCGAATTTTGACTCAGGAGCTCAGGCAGAAGAGTTAAAATTGTTTTTTTTTTTTAAATATGGTTCCTTATACTTTAGGCTCTACTTTGTATTGAGCAATGTTTTTTTTTAAATAAAAAAAAAATACGAAAGATTATTTACCTAACGTGTTCTTTCCTATTTTTCTATATATTTGCACACACACACAAACACACACACACACACACACATAGAAGTCAACACTTAGAGGCGACAGTCTGTTTCATGCTATATGCAATCGTCAGGCCACATATGCTGTTATTTTTCTCGGCTATTTATATATATGCGGGTTAGTGGTGCATTGTGGGTATTCTATTATGGCGGTTATTTTTTACCGGAAGTCGCTTTGTCTATTTATTTGGGTCAAATTATATTGCTCGTTTTTATTTTACTTCCGGTAAAAAATAACCGCCATAATAGAATACCCACAATGCACCACTAACCCGCATATATATAAATAGCCGAGAAAAATAACAGCATATGTGGCCTGACGATTGCATATAGCATGAAACAGACTGTCGCCTCTAAGTGTTGACTTCTATGTTCACTTTTATATTTACACACGCTCTATCTCTGATATTGAGCACTTTATCCCATAAATATAGCACACCTTAAGACTATATTTTTTTATATATATATATATATATATAAAAATATATATATATATATATATATATATATAGGTATGTGATTGGTATACGGAATATTTTTTTTTTTTACATTCAACATCATCACTTGATAAGACACCGGAGATTTTGAAACAAAATTGCTATTTTTGTAGTGATTTTATAACATATTTATGTTATAATTTTTAAATAAATAATTATATATATATATATATCTATTTTTTATATACATCTCCCATTCATCCATTCTCACGCTCTCTCTCTCTCTCTCTCTCTCCCTTTCTCTCTTTTTATCTATACTTATATATGTATAAAAGCATGTGTGTGTAATTGAGTGCAGTAGCATTGAATACGTGTTGCATTGTAACTATTCGTCATTTAACATTTTAAAATGACCTCTAACTAACGTCATCGGCCACGCCCCATTCGTCATATTAGCCTCTAGCCACCCCAACAATATCGACGCTGTTCGGGAAATCTGCCATATTCTCCCTCCGCGTCAACCGAGAAGTTTCGAATATCAAAGAAACCGAAATTCGTTCGCGCTTCCGTAATTCATTCACACGACCATTTTTCGAAGCGTCAGAAGGACGATTTGTTTTGACACCAGCTTTTCCCTTGTTAGATTTTGGTCCCTGTTCGACTCGCTGATATTAAACGATATATGGAACTCCATCTCCTCTTTGCGACTGCTCGGTCTCACATTGTCCGATGGAACGAATACATTGAGTCAATGGCTTCATCCACCGCAAGGAAAGTTGGCTCCCTGTGCCTCGCCAGGAACTTTTTTCCCGCCGGAGTCGATCCTCCAAATCTACAAATCAACCATTCGCCCTTGCATGGAGTATTGCTGCCATATATGGTCCGGTGCCCCTTCTGTTTGTCTCAAGGTTCTTGATAAGATCCAGAGACGGATATGCAATGTAATTGGCCCTGATCTGGCATCTCGTTTGCAGTCGCTCTTACACAGACGTACATTTTCCTCCCCCTGTCTTTTTTACAAATACTTTTACGGTAACTGCTCTGATGAGCTGCTTTCGCTGGTTCCCAGACTTCATGAATTTAAACGTTCAACTAGGCTGGCATCTCGCTCTCACCCTTTCACTGTCGAAACTGTTAAATGTAGCCGTCTCTTCTACTCCAATAGCTTCGTGTCTCGCACTTCTCGCCTGAGGAACTTCCTCCCCAGTTCTTGTTTTCCTGATAGCTATAATCTCTAACTATTCAAATGTAATGTCAATCGACGTCTCCAGATGCCCAGATCTATCCCCTAACCTTCTCTTCATCCTTTCCTCTATCACTCCTCTTTGTTCTCGCTCCAACTCTCTGTAACCCCTTGCGTGCTAGTGGCTTCCCGCCTTGCTTGGGGTTCAATGCTTAAAAAAAACATCTGGGCAGTAGCGCGCAGAAGTGTGTTGGGGCGGAGAGTGCGACCGCCCCGGGCATTCATATCCGGAGTTGATCCAATTAAAGAATGAAATAAAAATTTAGTTTTTGAAATTTGAAGTTGTCTATGTTAACGTCGTTGTACAAGTGCCCTACAGTCCCAGAACCTGATGTGAATGTGTATCTGCGTTCTGGTAAGCGAAATCGGAGTAGACAAACCTTCAGTCTTAGGTGGGGGGGTGGCATAGAATCAAGGATTTTGCCGCTAGTATCACCAAACCCCTACACGTCGTTGCATCTAGGAGAAAGAAAATTCTGAATTCAACCTTCTGTTTTCTTGTAGTATTTCTTAGGTTGAACGGAGACTAGTTAGAAAGCTACACACTATAGCGCAGATTGCCTGTTCCGATTTAGGAAAAGTCCGTAACGGAAGATTCGGTAACGGAAGATTCGGTAACGGAAGATTCGATAATTTTAGCAAAATAGGAAAGTTCAGTAACTATGAAATAAAAGTCGATTGAAAATTAATTTTTATCGCCGATCTGGAGTGGGGAATTGAGGTCTAATCTCACTTTCCCTATATTTTGAAATAACTGAAAATCTTTGGATCCAGATAAAAAAAAACACTACAACAATACCAGGGCCGTACTTGCAAAAGGCGGGACTTATAGGGCTAGGCCTACTTCCGCAATAGTTTTTTAAAAAGTATTATTAACTAAGTGGGTCTAGATAAACTCCCTCAATACCAGAGACGTACTTTCTGGAGGGGGCTACCCCACTAATACGTTTAGATATTAACTAAAAATTACTGGTCCAAGTCCAGAAACCAAAACCTAGTCCTCCTTGAGGACATATGGCACAGTGGATAAAGGCGTTAGTTAGATCCAGTGACAGGGTTCAATACCTGGTTATGGTAGTGGAGAACCTGGAGAGGTGAATTAACAGGAGATAACTGACAACTGACATCCATTAAATATGTTAAGTGGAACTAGAACAGTCTACCCAGTGAGCGAAATAAAGGGTTCAGTTCGACATTCCAACCACCTGAAGAAGTCCGGAGCGTACAACGGACGAAACGTTGTAATAAATATGGCGACAAAGATGAAGACAATGGTCCGAATAATGTAAATAGTGTAATCACTCTTTACAGTATTGATGGAGGTTTCCTTCCTAACCTTTTTTTCGAAGTAGTGTGGAAGATCAACGTCGTGATTATATTATTTTCACTTCGAGTTATATGTTACATTTTAGCAGTTACTACTGTTGAAAGTCCTCAAGTGATGTTTCTATTATTCGGTACAGTTCTTTGTGATTATGTAGCGCCAGTCCACAAAGGTAGGAGCAGGATATCTCTATACGCTTTATTCTCCCCGAGCCATTTTTAACGGTTGATTTGAGAAAGCGCTTGTATATAGGTGAAAGTTCAGATATTTCTGAACGTGTTTGGCACCCTGCTTGACATCCATATGAAAGTCTCGATGTGGCGAGACTGTTGAAGAAAATAACGCTAGTTTTTAAGCTAATGGTTTCTGCCAAATCGTAGACATGGCGGACTGAACAGAGAACATTATGAAGAAGGGAAAAAATCGCAATGAAAAATAAATTCTAGGATATTACTTATAAACTTATAAACAGTGAAAATTCTGGGATAGGCAAGTTTGGATTGAAGCTATAATGATTAACGTTCTTGCACCAAAAACATGGCGACACTAAGGGTCTTCGAGGATACTTAGCAAAGTCCTGGAAACTTAAAGAGACTAAGAGTTGTTTCTCGGTCAGCTCAGTTTCCACATTTCGGCGCGATCATTTTTTTTTTTTTGAAGAAGGTCTCTACGTTTAAATACTCGGTCATGATGACTTTCTCCTCGCAGAACTAACGCAAATTCCGAAACGGAATGGAATCCGTCTACGCTATTTCGCGCACAAGTCTTAGGTCGAACCATGGTATTGTTTAAAGGCACTTGTCTGAAGTTGCCAGGCGCTGCTGAGGTTGCCAACTCAGGTCGATAATATCCATAAGTCACCACCTTCACAAATTGATCATGATGAGATTTGAACTCGGTCAAATATCCAGATAACAGAATTTCTGAAAAACGGTTTGAATACTGAGGAGAGTCTCGAAGTATTAAGGAAACTTGCTTTCCTTTTAATTTAATCTCAATAGCCACCAGTCACTAATAGCGAATGAAAATAATATGATGACCCTTGCCCTACTGCATCATTACTGAAAATAACTAGAATACTGAGGAAGGTTCTGGGGTATTGTTGTCACTTAAACTCCAGTATAGGCTACAAATTACTACTGGTTTAAAGAATCAATGTCTGAATAATAATAATAATAATAATAATAATAATAATAATAATAATAATAATAATACATTGGTGAAAACGTTTTATATGCCGAAATTGTTGAAAGGTGTTTCAGACAGCTGGGCCGGCGTTGATTCGTTTTAAATAACCTCACCAATATGTCGACACGGAGGCTGCATTCGTAAGAACGAAATAAGAAAAAGAAAGAAAGAAAGTGTAAAAGAAAAGAAAGAAAGAAAGAAAGAAAGAAAGAAAGAAAGAAAGTGTAAAAGAAAGAGTGTAAAAGAAAGAAAGAAAGAAAGAAAGAAAGAAAGAAAGAAAGAAAGAAAGAAAGAAAGAAAGAAAGAAAGAAAAAGTTTTGTGGCAAAGAGATACGAAATGGAAGGAATAAAAAAAAGAATGATAGAGAATAGGAAGATGGGAAGAGATAGAAAGAGAAGGGATGTGTAAAGTATTGGGTTGGTAGTGGGGGTGGTGACAAAAAAAAAGCTTGACGTGAAGTTGGGACGGGGTGGGGGTTGCAGCTGAAAGAAATCTCTTGTTTACATTCCGACCGGAAACATCAAAGGAGAAACACGCCGGCAGACATACCAGGTGTTTGGCCGGAGCAAACATTGGCAAAACGTCCTCATGGGGCACGAGTATCGTCACACAAAGGCCCTGGCGTGTATACAAAATAAGTAAAACTGAACTTACAACTCAATTAGACACACACACACACACACACTTACCCTTGTCTTCCGCGCAACATTCACCTATACAAGCCTGACTTCATCTTCTCAAAGACACATTACTGGTACATTTCATCTCCAGACCTCATGGGCAGACAGTTCTATTTACACGTGCCTTCAGGACATAGGAGATCATGGTTCTCCCCAACTTCCTATCCCATGAGGGTTCAGTTTTCCAACCCTTCCTCATGATGGTGATCTTCTAAACGTAGCTTAGTTGTGTCACGGGGCCGAAAGTATAAGGCACCCAGTGAGGATCGAACTCACTATTCAGTCGTAACTGATCTATCTTGACAAATTTGCTAACAATTACACCACATCAAAGTGTTCTACTTTACTAAGCAAAGCTTAGTAAAGTAAGCTCAAGGCTGAAAGTATGGGGTACCCAATGAGGATCGAACTCACTATTCAGTCGTAATTGATCTAGCGAGACAAGGTTGCTAACAATTACACCACATCAAATTGCTCTAGTTTACTAAGGCGAGCTTAATTGTGACAAAAGGGTGAAACTATGGGGTACCCAATGAGGATTGAACTCACTATTCAGTCGTAATTGATCTAGCGAGGCAAGGTTGCTCACTATACATGTTTTGCTAAGTGTAACATAGATTTTGGACTAGGTCGAAATTGTGGAGCACCCAGGGAGTATCGAACTCACTATTCAGTCGTAATTGATCTAGCGAGGAAAACCGAGCTTAATTGTGGCACAAGGCTGAAAATATGGGGTACCCAATGAGGATTGAACTCACTATTCAGTCGTAATTGATCTAGCGAGGCAAACGTAGCTTAATTGTGGCACAAGGCTGAAAGTATGGGGTACCCAATGAGGATCGAACTCACTATTCAGTCGTAATTGATCTAGCGAGGCAAACGTAGCTTAATTGTGGCACAAGGCTGAAAGTATGGGGTACCCAATGAGGATCGATCTCACTATTCAGTCGTAATTGATCTAGCGAGGCAAGGTTGCTAACCATAAATGTTTTTCTAAGTGTAGCGAGACGAGCTTAATAACAATTACGCTTCGAACTCATGATGTGTCTAAGGATTTTCACCTGTCTTTTCCTGATTCTTTCTGTTGCCATTCCCTTTAAGCCATTCTTTGTTCGTTACTCGCTCCGTCCATTGAACTTTCAGTCTCCTCCTGTAGTACTACAAATCTGCTGTCTCCAGTTTTCCCTTCGTCCATGGGGAGATCGCCCAGCATTCACTGCAATGTAAGAGGTTGGATAAGACATAGAAGACTGTCTTCCTATATGAACGCGATAAAAAAATAGATTGCGTGATGATGAAATCAAAATATAAAGACATAGGAACACAATTGACGTCATCTTATTCTATAATATTTTCAGTTTTCTGTTGAATTGGTTTGACTTGGCTAAGCAACGTTGAGCCTGGTTAGTAACCAGATGGGTGACCGCATGTGCTGTAAACTTGGATGTGCAGGTGATGTAAAGAATAACAGCTTGGAATTTGAAATCGGTGAACCGAGTTCCAATCCAAGTCAGGTTCGTTATATTCACTTTCGCGCGAATAGCCTTAGGAAATGTATGAATCCACTTCTTCTCCCTAACCAGCAATGGGTTAATTATTAAGACTTGTATCAGTAAATCATTATTTCTTCCAAAACATTCTTACAATCTAAAAATATTTTGTGGCTTTAAATAACCTGCAAAAGGTTGATAAGCCGTAAAGAAGCAATTATTATTTTATTTGTGACACCGTACAGTGTCCTGCAAAAAGTGGCCATCAAAGATTGCTGTGCGCTGTAGTCATAAACTGTGGATAGACACAATACCTCGGTAGGCTGAGGTATTTATACGATCCTTTATTGGCACCAAGGATCCTAATGTCTACCAAGAAAATATCCCCTCTACCATTACACCATCGACAGCAGCCTGAACCACTGATAAAATACAGGACGGATCAATACTTTCATGTGGTTTACACCAAATTATGTTCCTGCTATTCAAATGTCTCTGCAGACATCAGGACGCATCCGACAGTGCGACATTTTTTTCAATCTAATATTGTCAAAGTTTTGGAATTCTTACCGAATTGTAGCCTAAGTTTATCGTTCTTATCTAAAGGAAGTGAAACTCGATATAGTCATCTGCTGTGGGCCATCTGCTTCAGTGTTTCACGTGCTGCACATTCAGAGATGCTCTTGAGTATGCCGCCGTTGTAAATTCGAGCCGTTCTATCAACTCAAACCGGTCAGGGTCATTATCCTCCGATTTCTTGCCGTCTTTAAAATTGGCGTATAATGGATTTTATTTCTTTAACAGACAATTGACAACCATTGACTGTAAACACTAACTATAGTGGTATGTGAAAACGTTTGTTGATCACCAATTTTTCAAATACTCAGATGCTGCCTCTCTGGCTCCAACGACCCTGCCGCGTTCATAGTCACTTAAAATAACTTTCTTTTCATACTCAAGCATGAAATGAAATTCAGAAAGTTGCTATGAACGAAATAAAATGTGTATGTTCATTTAATTGCTGCTACATAATTGGCCGAGGAGAAATTTACATGGAGAGCAGTGTTTCATTTTGTATATATATATATATATATATATATATATATTAAAAAGAAGAGGGGTGCCGCAAACGTTTTTGGTTGTAATGTGGATTTATTGAGAAAAAATATTATACTTTGTTTTACATAATTTTTCTTCATGTTCAATGTGGAATATTCTCGATATGAGACATTCTGTTTGTTTGTTATATATATATATATATATATATATATAAAGGGTTCCAATACGAAAACCGGAGAAACAGCCAAAACGTTGTGAGCATGGCATTGAAGATGAGGATAACAGTCTGAATAATGTAAATAATGTAAATAATCATGATACTTCATCATACTTATTATAAAACCCAGGTTGTGTGTGTATGTGTGTGTGTGTCTGTACGTTTATATATTGGATCGGATTTCCTACATTTTTCAACCGATTTCAACAAAACTTCACAGGACTGCGTAAAATTACCTTGCGGTGGTTCTGACAGCGCCAAAAATTGGAAAAACACAATTGTTTTTGAACGAAATCAAGTTGAAAACACGATTAATAGGCATCGCGAGAATGAAAGGGGAACAACTCATATCGAGTTATACTTATTATAAAACCCAGGTTGTGTGTGTGTGTGTGTGTGTGTGTGTGTGTGTGTGTGTGTGTGTGTGTGTGTGTGTGTGTTCGTTTATATATGGGATCGGATTTCCTACATTTTTCAACCGATTTCAACAAAACTTCACTTTTTTTTTGGCAGGTAGTGTTTCTTATTGTCTTGCACACTTTTTTCTTTTATTTTTACATCAGAATGCTTTAAAAATTCCATTTACAAGACAATTGTTTATAATAAAATTCTATTCAATCGGTAGACTCATAACGATTGAAAACAATGTTTTGTTTGAGTTTGGGTTTGACCAATTCGTAAAAAAAAAAAAAAAAAAAAAAAACTCATTAAGACATGTGTCCGTCAACCTTAAACAATAATCTTTGTCAATTTTATTTTTCAGTCTTTATGATGGTCGATACTTGATCTATCTCTTTGTTACATCCTCAGGCAACGCCGTGCTCTACTGCTAGTCTGAAATATAGACAGATTCTTATTTCTGTTTTAAACACAGCATCTGACTTGTTTTATGTGAGGAAACTGAAATCTTTGGGCATTTTTTTTGGTTGTTTCCTATTTTCCATTCTACCCCTATCTAAAATATGCTAAGCTGTGAAAAAGATATATATATATATATATATATATATATATATATATTTTCATATTTATATATATATTTTCATTAATATATATAAATATATATATATATATATATATATATGTGTGTGTGTGTGTGTGTGTGTGTGTGTGTGTGTGTGTATCGCTGCAGACAGCTCAATAAAAATATTCACTTATATGATGGCATTTTTTTAGAAATTCACAATCGTTTAAATTGTCCCAAGAATTTTCCACGTTATTGTTTATGTGGGTCGCTTCGGATGTAATGCCTCTAATTTTATATTAACCGCCGATGTTAATATCGGTGTCATGGCTACAGAGGCTGAATTTTCCCACCATAATTCCATATTTGTTTGCTTTGTTACAGACAGAAGCTAAGCGGCAGTCTGGCAAAATGGCGTCTAAAATGAAAACGCAGACGACGTAGCAGTATGTTAGTGAATTCTCCAGGAAAAATAGTTGCACCCGTTAACATTTTTCAACGCTTGCTAAACGTTTACGGCGGTTTGGCATGTACGATCACAGAAGTTAAGCAACGTCAAGCCTGGTTTGTACATAGATGGGTGACCGCTTGGGAATACCAGGAGCTGTCAGTTTGGATGTTCGGCTGGTGCAGGGTGTGGGAACCCGCGGCTTTAAATAAAACATTTTTTTGAAAAAAAAAAAAAAAAGGAAGGAAAGAAATTAATAAAATGAAAAAGGAAGAAATCTTTTATCAGCTTTTCCGGGAAATTTTCCAAAATCGGAAAATGAAGAGATGTTTCATAAATTGTAATTCTAAATAAATTTTTTTATTACCATCGTTGTTAATTACCTGATGAGACGTTATTGTTTATTAAACGTCGAAACAAAATGTACAGTTTTCTAGTCGTTACTTACTTGTCCTAATGTAATAGTTTATGAAAAAAAAATTATTGGTCTACTCTTGTATTGATTCCTGTTTTAATCTATGAACGTTTAAATGTTATTCTTCGTTCTTTTACAGTTGTGTTTATACACACACACACACAAACACATACACACACACACACACACATATATATATATATATATATATATGTATATATATATATATATACACTAGCAGTATGGCCCGGCGTTGCCCGTGCTTAATTCAAAAATCGTACGACTCATACAGCAATCGCTATCACTTGACTTAAAATATTTTTGCCCTTCCTTGCCTTTAAAAGAGTACCCTTTGCCGTGCTGATGTTGCTACATGCCTTACTTCTTGTCTATCTCACACTGCGAATTTTTTCTAAGCTCTATACTAAACATTAAATCTGTTACGAAAAAAGAACTAAACAAAATGAACACAAAACGATCAGCTTTTAAAAAAAGGACTCGTAACTGGCAAAACCGAATGAAAAAAGAATGTTAACAACAAATAATTTTTCACATCCAACCCAGTTCTGCGGAATCAGAATCAACGTTGAGTTTAAGCAAGCGAATGAGCCAATTGGAGTAAAGTGCCATGCAGATTTAAATTTTTCCCACTTGTGACGAATGCATCTATCGATTTTTTTTGCATGCTAGTTAACATTCGTGTCAGTCATCTGTTGGCTCTCACGCTGGTCAATAGAATCTTCCTGCCTATTCGTGGCAGCCAGCTGAAAACTGCGGTAGAAGCATGAAAAAATCGATTATTTTCACAATCGATGGAAGTTGGGAATTGCAAAGTCAGTCTTGGCCTTCCCGCTAACTTGGAGCAGCTGCATGTAAATTTTGGTGCAAATCCGTCGAAAATTGTGACCGTGCATTCGTTACACCCACACACCCACACATCCTGCCTTTTATATATATATATATATATATATATATATATATATATATAGATAGATAGATAGATAGATAGATAGATAGATAGATAATATTAGTGGTTAACATATATATTTTTTTCTAAGTGTACCGTGATATTTTCATTTGTTTCTAGGTGTGCCGTTGTGAAAGTATTATTAGATTCGAAATCCCTTCATAAATCTTCCTTCTATTATTGGACTTGAGTTATATGAAGAAGAATTGGCCACCATAAACGGGGGCACAAAATAAAACATTCGACGGTATCCATTGATACCTTTTTGGATTTCAATACAAAAGAAATATCCCAAATTAGCTAAAAAGGCTTTATCAGTTTTATGGTATCACTTATTTATATGAATTAGGTTTCTCGACACTAAATAAGAAGCGGGAAAGACTACGCTCAACTGAAGAAGGGTCTGCTTATCACACATTTGACAAAATCGCGAAAAAAAAAAGAAAAAAAAGCACAGGTTTCAAACTAAAGAAGCTACAGAAATAATTGAATAGAAACATTGAAATAAAATAATTTCATATCTGTATGTGTATTTTTTTTAATCTATAGTTTTATTGATCCATTTTGGATTTCAATACAAAAGAAATATCCCACCTTAGCTAAAAAGGCTTTTAATGTTTTATTTCTATTTTCTACAGCTTATTTATACGAGTTAGGCTTCTCAACCCTAAATAACATCAAAAATAAGAAGCGAGAAAGACTACGCTCAACTGAAGTAAGAGGGTCTGCTTCTCGCACATTTGACTAAACATTGAAGAATTCGCGAGAAAAACAGGCACAGGTTTCGCACTAAATAATCTACACAAATAGTTGAATAGAACCATTGAAATGAAGTTCCTATTTGTGCATGTATTTTTTTAATCTAGGGTTTTATTTCATAACATTTAAATATATACCCTCTGAAAATTTTGATAAATATTTTCATTTGTGCCTTGGTGTGCCACTGCTTAAAAGAATTGAGAAACACTGTCTTAGATTAACAACTAGGTCACATGATTTTACTGTTGAAATAGCTGAATGTCACCGTTAATTCTATGTTAATAGTTTTTTTATTTTATTTTATTTTATCGCCCTTCTCGTTTATGGAACTCTCTTCCCTGCCAACGACGATCTTTGAAAAACTTAAATGTTGCATCAATCGCCATCTTTCGTCTTCCGGTAACCTGTTCTTTTATTGTCCTTTTTCTTTTCTAAATTCTTCTCATTCTCTTTCTCTCAGTATCCGCTGGTGTTCTAGTGACATTAGCGCCTTGCATGGCGTGAAATTGTTAAAAAATGTTACTGACGTTTATTTAAAGAATTATATTTGGATAAATATCGCCGTTTCTACATACATTTTTTTTTACAGTAAGTTTCACCCTGTACAAGGCCCGAGGTCGACTCAAGGTAGAAGGTTATGTTAAAGGTTAGTTTATATGAATATGAGGGAAAGATAACGGTTAACTCTAGATTTGAACAGAGCAGTGGTTCGCGGGAAGAAGCTGTTTGAGTGGAATTTACTTTTCGGCGATGGAATAGCGGGGGGAGAATATGGCTGGTTTGCTACAATTTATGTGGTACTGTGGGTCCTAGCCGTGGAGGTTAGACCTAGCAAAACCAAGGAATGTATTTCATCCGAGAACTTTTCATGGAATTAGTGACAGAGTAGTGAGAGATTCACCACATCCCACCTGTGAGAGAGAAAGGATGAAGGATGGAAAATAATTCTTCCCCAGCATGGACTCGGAGACGCTTTTGAACTCTATCAAGAAAGAAAAGTGAGCATTTCTTCAGCTCACGCCCACATATGGCAACAGTAGTCCATTTTGAGCCTGATCTGGCTCTTATATATAGCATGAAGACGCAGGTACTTGTTGGAACGGTACGGGAAGCCGATCATTTTACCTGCATCTTTAACTCTAGATTTGCACAGGTTGAGTAGTAGTGATCCGGGAAACGTCCTCTTTGAAGTCTGTTCCACATGTGGCACCCTGCATTATTAGAAAACTGAAAAGAGATATTCATAAAAATATGATTTATTTTATTCGGTTTGTTAACCAGTTGATAGTTATTTAGAGACGAAGAATAATTGAGTTTGAGAATAATTCTCTAATTGTATTTAGGCGATCCGAAAGAAAGAAAAAAAAGAAAAAAAAAATAATAAAAGAAAGAGAAAGAGAAATAGATAGTACAAAACCCGGTCATAAGCAAAACACGCGTCAAAAGATATCCAGGTCAAAGTACCTGACCGAAATCCACGGAAAATAGAAATTGTTATATTTGGTTGAAGGAATAGAGTTTTAGAAATAATGATACGAGACGGGGTAGTGAGCGCGATTGATGCATAACAGATGTCGGTCAAGCACCTGACCTACTTTCGTGTCCGCGGAGTATGGGAGTTTATTATCAATTTGGTTGAAGAAATAAGATTTTAAGGACAATGGAAAAAATATTAATAGGTAACGAACGAAAAGGGGTGTCATTGAGATGATAAGTGACCGCTGGGAAATGTATACGAAAACAAAACATTGGTACACGAACCCTGACCAGTTCTAGAGTTGAAGATAAGAACCACCCACGATGATGAGTGAAGAATATTTTCAATTTAGATAATTAAGATTTTGTTAACAGGCCCGAGCGAAAGAAAGAGGTGAAAACAATTGTTTTAGCTCGCGGAAGACGCCGACAGGTCGGAAAAATTCTTCTTTAAGTCGCATCTAATTAGCGGCAGGCTGTTATGACAAATGCCAAATGTGAAAGAAACCGAAATCGTCATTTTCGTGTGAAAAGGACAATTTGGATTTTGTTTTTCTAAGCAAGGTATTTCTTCCCCAGAACAAAGCCACGGATTGTCCACGCCCGATTGAGACGTCACGAAGGAAGGAGGAAGATACCGACCAGAGTCTCATTAGCCGAGGGCAGTCACATGATACATGAGGGAGGAGGAGAGACGCCCGACCAGGGTCTCATTGGCCGAGAGCGGTCACGTGATGTGCGAGGGAGGAGGAAAAGACGCTCGACCAGGACCCCATTGGTCGAGAGCGGTCACCTGACATACGAGAGACCAGGGAAGCGGGTATGCGCCTCCCCCCAGAGGCACTGTAAGGAAGTAGAAGTGAAAGTAAGAGCGATAATGGGAAATCAGAAATAATGCGACATTTGGAATTATCAAGAAAACCCTGGCGCCGACAGACCCACCCCAGTTTGTTACGGCGTCAATAAAAGCAGGACCCCAATCAACAGAAATCAGTTGCAGGCCAAACAGGCAGAAGAGTTGCAGGGCGGACAGTGAGGGAGCTTGAACGCGGGCGGCGGGCCCGGTTCATTCGCCCCTTTGCGGGCAAGAGAATCCGGAGTGAAGAAATTCGTCCAGCCCAAGTCGAAGTGAAGAAAATTGCCCGAAAGCCTAAGAAGAGTTGGAGCTGCAGCCCGAAAGTCGAAGAAGTTAACTTGCAGTTGCGCCTAGAAGAAGTTGAAATCAAACCAAGCCTAAGAATAGAAATTCGCCCAACTCAAGTCGAAGTGAATAAATTCATCCAAACTCAAGTCGAAGTGAATGAATTCGTCCACCCGAAGCAGAAGAGAAGTTAATTCGCGCACTGACGGCGAGGGAAATCAGCCGTGAACGACTGGTAGAGATCAGCGCCCAGTGTCGAAACCAAACTACACCCCGAAATGCAAATTTCTAGAGAACAAGCAACTCGAAGTCTTAAAGTTGTATGATAGAAGCTTGGTGCTACAGTCCATAGAACGGGTCGGGAGGTAGGAACAATTTTGTGTAACAAACATTTAGATATAAAG